AACAAACTAGCAATTTGGCAAATCTCAGGCTTTACTGCTTTAAATCAGGACAAAGATCAAGTGAAATCAACAGAAAAAGAAAGAAGTTCAGCAACAGGAAGTGTCACAGCTAAATGCAAAACAACAGCTAGCTAATATAAATTATAAGTGCTTAGATTTCATTTCAAAATTTATTCTTAATTAAAATCAAAATAGATATAATACATAACTTTATGTCTTCTCATTTCATTTATTATTTTATTAAACGATATCAAATTTTAATTACTTGCATATATGCATGTATATATATATATATATATATATATTTCTTGTCACATTTGTAAATTGATGGGAATATATTTGAACGACAACCTATGTACTAGATAAATTAAATTAAATTAAATTGGTCTTTGTCCCTAAGTTCTTTTAAAAAAGCCTATTTACATAGTTGTTCCAATCAAAAGAAGCAATTTAATAAATAATTGGATAGCCTTCTTATTGACCAAGCTAACTTAGCATTAATTCTCTCTATCTTTTCATATTTCAAAATTGGACAATGATAAGTTTCACTTTATGTGAACAAAGATTGCCACATCTTTTCATTTCAACAAAAACTTTATCATCAAATAAACAATTTGATGTGAACAAAGATCGTCACATCTTTTCATTTCAACAAAAACTTTGTCATCAAATATTCCGCATAATTCCCGCATAAAGCCTTATATTGATTCCTTTTTTTGTAAACATTTCATTCTCTTCTTCAATTCATCTCATAATTCTTCGTTATTTAGCTTTGATAACTTTAAGATAAAAATGACGAAAGGAAAAAAAGAAAGATTGGAAATAAAAGAATAAGAAGAAGAAAAAGGAAGAATTTTATTTTTAAAATCATAAAAAAGGGAAAAGATTTGTATTCCTTTCTAAACCACATAAATATGTCATTTATTTGACCATTTAATAAAACCGAGAAATGTCATCAAAAAGATGACTTTTTTTTTTTGTCAATCATCGGAATGATTCGATGGAATTTTTAAAATATTGAAATACTCTGTCGTAAAATTAAAATTAAATTATCAAAATAAACATCACAAAATGTTTTTGCCATTTGTTTTCCAACTTATTAATGTTAAAAATTCTTTGCTAATTTATTTGTGCAAAGTTCTTTTCCAGTTGAATTATTCATATTTGAAATTAGACTTGCTATTTTGTGATCGAATAGAAATGACAAAAATTGAAAATCAGAATTCAATTGATGTAAAAACGAATTATTCTATCCCACTCAAAACTTCACAACAACTTTATACTTTTCTCGCTTTACACATTAGTTTCAATTATTCATCACAAATTGTCACCCGATAGAAGCAGATGTCCACCGAAGCAAATTCTGCTAATTGAATAGTAAATTATGCTTAAGTTAGAAGTAGTGATAAACGATGAAAAAAGGTAAAATAACCAATTCCTATTGCAAATCAAATTAAATATTCATAATATCTAGGCAACGTCAACAAAAAGAAAAAAATTTTTTTTCCAAACTTATCGATTTAATTAACTTAAGCATTTTCTTCTACTTTTCCCTTCATCTTACATTTATCTAAAATATTTCCTTACTCATCTTTGATACCCTTTTCCTAATTTTATTAACGTTTAGCAAAATTTTACATAATCAAAAAACTAATCATTTTAACTTTAAATGATTTAAATTAATTGCAAATGATCATAAATTAGCATCCTTTAATGATGCTAATTGCCAAATTTTTACTAATTAGATTATTAATAATCTAATTTGCTAAACCTCAATCAGGTAAAGTGATATACTTGAAATTTGCAAATTTTACTTATCATCTATCTTTATCATCCTTTTATTCCTATCATTTTAATTCCATCCCTGTTGAGATAATATTTTACAAAATCAATATCAAACATTTTGAATATTTCTTTACTCATCTTTTATATCCTTTCCTTAATTTTATCAAAGTTTAACAAAATTTTACAAAATGAAAAAGCTATCATTTAACTTTGAATTGCTTATATCAATTACAAATAATTGTACATTTAGTCGATATTGCGCAGAATTTTAGCGTATTTTTCCCGAAATTTTTCTTAATTTTAAATTTCACAACGAAATAGAATAAATCAAAGAAACGATTTATCATTTTAGAATTCCTCTTTTTTTTCTCTCTCTCTCTCTCTTTGATTGAAGAAGGCTTTAATTTTTTTTTTTTGATTAAAACATTCATTAAGTGCTTTTTCTGCATAATTATATATTCTTCTCTCAAAATATTTTGAAGAAAACTGTGATTGAATCATTATGCTGCATTTATGACTAAAATTAAAATTCTCTAAAATTAAAAAAAAAAAAAATTAAGATTACTTACAGGAAAATACGAAACAAGAAGTTGTTTATTTGTCATTTTCGTAGTGACAGATATTTTTCATGAAAGGAATAATGTGACAAATGAACGATTAAAACTAAACATTTTACGGCTAAGGTATTTTTATTCCAATATTACGACAATTATATGATGGAATCAAATTTAACAAGAAATGCTATTTCATTTGGTACTTCTGCGTTCGATGAAGCAATGAGAAATTTAACGGAAGTAATGGATGCAGGGAATGGAGTGAAGGTAATTTGTGATATCAAATTTCAATTATTTCGCTTATTTACATCTTTCTATGTTTTTGAAAAATCCATTAGAAACATATTTTCTTAAATTTTAGCAATAAAATTGGCAAAACGATATGTTTTTTCAAAAATAACATTGCTATTAACGCATGAATATCAAATGGGCCACTTTAAATAATCTGTCCTCTTTTTGTCCATTTAGCAAAGTTTAATTAGCTAATCTTTACTTAATTTGTTAAATATTTTAATTAAGAGCTAATATGCTACTGAAAAAGTTATAGGATTGAAAATTTTGTAGCACTATACACTGCAATATCTAATTCATGTACAACAAGAAATGACTAATGTCACAGTATATTATGTAATACCCGAGATTTCTCAGAAAAATTTTTCAGAATTATACGAGGTATGAAAAACGGGAATAGATATTTTCAAAATATGTCTATCAAAAAAAAGAAAAAACAAAAAAAAGGGCTAAATTTAGATGCATAATTGATAGAGGAGGAAGGTATATGATGTGACAATCAATAAGATGATGTTAGCTAAAATTGTCATCATAGTAAATTAGTGAAAATCAGCCAATAGTTAACCAGTTTGTTAATTTTTCCATAACAGTTGGTCAAAAAAAAAAAAAAAAGAAAGAAGAANAACAAAC